AAAAAGCAACCAATGGTGGCCTTTCCTTTTGCCACCTAGGATTTTGAGCTTTTCCTACGTGGCATTTGCCCAAAAAAATACCGCCACAAAAATTTTGTCACTGGAATACCGTGCATATACGGTAGTTAATGGCACATATGCCCTCAAGTATCGTTTAGAATTACTGCATTAATTAACCTTTAAAAATAAAAAATAAAATTACATGTAATTACTGTAATTGAGAATAAATAAGGTCAACATAGACCGGAGACTGAATGAAGAAGGGAAGACGTAAAATTTTTGTCATAGATCTTTTACCCAAGCGATAATTGACATGTATTTATATTAAAAAATATAATTCATTACTCCTAGTCTAATAGTTTTTACCATTATCATATTTTTTTAACATATGAATTTAAAGATATATTAACTATTATTTTTTCATTAATTATCACCTAAAAAATAAAAATTAGACTTAAATTATATCAACAACTTAACAAAAATTATTCATGTTTTATCGATGTTAAAAATAAAATTAATTTTTATATTTTCTCATATGCATTAATGAAAAATTGTGCACTCTTAAAATGTGCTCTAAAACACATTTTGCAGTAGATTCAAAGAGTAATTAATCAGTAGGGGTTTTTTTTAACCTATATTTATTGTTTTTTTCTTTATTAATTCGTTAAAGAGAATACAAAAATTGACATTAATTCTAACACTACTTTTAAATGAATGACTTTTAATTAGATAATTGATTAAATTAAAATTATTTTTTATTTTGTATAATAATAAATAATAAATAAATACAATAAATATTCCTTAATAGCACATATTAAAAAAAACCATTAAACATATATACTGTAATTATAAGTTATCTACACTAATAAATGTTAAACCAAATATGTAAGTTTCCGATTTCATGAGATTGCTGTCATTTTGATTCTTCATAGATTTCCTTATCCTTTGCCATGCATAAACAATTATGTTAACATTTAATGTTGAATTAATAATTTGTTCTTCATATCCTCAAAGAACAAAAGATGCTTTACCATTCTAAATCAAAACCAATCTATTTAATAACATATTTTTACAACAACTACATGATCTATTTAGTGAAAAAAATTATTAACGCATCACATTGTAAACATTTATTTTAAACAAATGCTGCAATGAATCATTTTAATTTTCATTTTTAAATAAATAATTAGCATTTTCCCATTCCATCTATTTTCTTTCAAGATTCATGTATTTCAAAAAAAAAAAAAAAACACTCTCCTAGGCTTCTTCAAATATACTAATTCTTTTTTTTCTTTTTTAGGTTGAGTTAATTAACTTAATCTGTAAACCACTGAAATAAATTAATATCTTATTAAACATTTGTTACTATTAAATTAAGTGCAATATTGAATTTTCTTTTAAATTTTCATGATACATTGAAAATCAATTTTTTCTTACAACTAAAATTCTATAATATGCATACTTCATACACACACTATGAAAAATCAATCATAATTTCATTATAAAAATGATGTTAAGTATTTCATTTTTTGGGAATTTATTTTGGTTTTTTTTTTAAATCATCTTATTTTAGTTTTTTGTATTCCCATTTATTTTGTATTTGTATGGTCGCCACCAAACATGACCCCCCCAGTTGTGACATTGGAATGACCCAGGTGTCCTTAACAACGGAGACAAAATTTAAACGCTTGGGCCATGGGGCACAGAGAACCAAATTCCAGAGTGTTATAACTATAATATATAAAGAAATATTATAAATTGATAAGTACAATATATTAAGATATTTTCTAAATAAATATATAATATTATAAATTTTTAAATAAAAATTAAATTATATAATAATATATTGTATTATAAAATTAATATTACATGTCAGTTAAAATTATATTAATTTTAAAAAAGTTAAAGCCAACTATAGTCCTCATACTTTGTAAAAATATTCATTACCATCCCTCTACAAAGGAAATGTTCAATATCATCCCTCTACTTTTCTTACCGCATAAATGTCATCCTTTTAATACACATTTTTTTGTTCAATGTCATCCTTGATTGGATGCCATCCATTTTGCCATTAACTTTGACCATTAATTGTCTAATCGTCAAACACTCAACTTTTACTTATGGATTTTTCTAAGAACACATGTTAATGATATTTTTTTGCAATAAATTTATATAAAAAATATTAAATTAAAATTTAATTTTAGTATCATTGTCACTTGAATAAATTTAATTAAATAATTGATAAGTTAAATATTACTTATTCTTTTTTAAGACTCTTAACCTATACCTTAAGAATATAAATTAGAATAACCATTTGTTTATTAATTTTTTATCCACCTAGTGGGATTAGAATCCGTTAACTCTCTGTTAAAATGATCATAAATATAGTTATAAGATTAATCTTTAAAAATTAAAAATGTAACAATTTAGTTTTAAAAATTTTAAAATTATGAAAATTGGTAAACTAAAAAGAATTAATAAATGACTTTTTTACATATATTAAAACCATATTAGATATTTATAATCAAATCAAGCGATTAGCACAATTTGGAGAAAGAATTTTGACTGAAATTAAAGTAAATTTCTTAACTAAATTAATATAGAAAATTCAAGAGACTAGAAAAATGTAACTAAGAAATTTTCCTTAATTCTAATCAGATTTTTTTAGTTAGATTGTGTTAATCATTCAATTTAATTGTAGATATCTAATACTATTCTCATATATGTGATAAAGTTATCAACTAATTATTTTTAAGTTACTAATTATTTTTAGTTTTAAAATTTTTAGAACTAAATTATTACATTTTTAATTTTTGAAAATTGGTCTTATAAATACTTTTTTTTTACTTTAATAGAGACTTAATGAAATTTGTTAATGAATAAAAAATTAATAAACAAAAATTAAATATTTAACCATTATGCAATTAATGGTCAAAGTTAACAGCAAAATGGATGACATCCAATTAAGGATGACATCTAACAAAAAAAAAAGTGTAGTAAGTGTAGTAAAAGGATGCCATTTATGGTGTAGTAAAGGGATGCCATTTATGGTGTAAAAAAACTAGAGGGATGACATTGAACATTTTCTTAGTAGAGTGTTGGTAATGAACATTTTTACAAACTACGAGGACTACACTTGGTTTTAACCCTTCTACAAAATTAAACCTTTTATAAAAATAAAAAATAAAAGCCTAAAAATGAATAAAAAGAAAAAGGAAAATAAATGCCCTCTCTTCGTGACCTAACGTTTTTTTCGATCAAGCTCATAACAGACAGCCACAGGATCCAAATCTTCTCCACGTGTCGAGATCTCAACGCACTCAAAAACACTGGTGGGTCACCCGACAGAGAGGAACAGGTCTTTAGGTGACTATGAAGGCCACCAAGGTAAATTAGCGATGAGTCCTGTAGGAGGGGTCAATTCTATCAGGGCTGGGGTTTAAGCCATTGGGTGGTTTTCAGAGGGTTTTGGCTATCAGACACAAAACGGAGAGAAATTTATTCTGTTTGGGAGAGAGGAAAATAGGATTTCTAAAGAAAACAAAGAATGGGTAGCGTCTGAAATCCCACTAGGATCTTTGCTTTTGTTGCTCGGAAAAAATGGGATGGGGAATTCTGGTACTTCTTCTTTCTGTTCATTGTTCCCTCTGGAATCTTAACATTTTCCTAAATTTTCGCTACAATTTCGCGTTTTGAGTGAAGAATCATTGTCCAAAGGTGAGAAAATTGGTTTTTTGGGGGTTAGATTTCGCGTATACCTCGAAAGTTTTGATCTTTTGCTTGGGTTTTGCGTTCAGGCCGGGGTTTTTGGGTTCCATTTCTTTTCATGGTGTGCTTGGTTGCCGAGAAAGGCTGGGAAAGTGGACGCAAAAAAACGATTTTTTTTGTGGCCATTCGCCTTCTAAATTGTTCATGACCCAAAAGATTTGAAATTTTTGACTCAGCTCGCGAGCGAGTGGATGGGTTATACTTTTCACTCCTTCGATTTTTCTTTCTAAAACCGCAAAATTTGTCACATGTTATCCTCAAATTCGTCTTTTTCTTCATAATTCCGGTTTGGGTTTAGCCGATCTGTGGTTAGAGGAACAGTTCATCTATTTCAAAGCAATTTACTAGAAAAACACAGAAATTTCCGGGAAAAATCAAACAGACAATCGAAGTTTCTTTTTAATAATTATTTTTTGTTGCGATTCTCGAGATCGACCTTCTATATAGGGTTTTTAGATCTTTCAAAATCATAATTTTACAATAATCTGAGTTGCAGAATTTCTTGAGTTGATGCCTGAAACGGGTGCTTGGATACTTTGTATCAGGGTTTTGTTGTGGTTTATGAATTTTTTTTTTTTTTAGTTTTAACTTCTCTCTTATTTCTGTTTTTTGGTTTAGCTTTTCTACTTCCAGCAATGAAAATTTTGATTTTTTTTTTCCTAGAAGAAATGGTTACGAAGGCTCTTCCTTCCGATTTTTTTTTTCTCTAAAATTTGTTCATATGCATGTTTGATGCATATGCAAGCGCCTTCCACTGGGCTTTCTGAATAAATATGATACCTTTTTCTGTGATCCACTCCTTTGATTTTTTTTTTCCTCAAAATTTTCTTTGGTTTTCCTTGAATTTATTTTATTTTATTATCAGATCAACCGGATCATCTGTAAGTTACAGAAGGCTTTTGTGTTAATTAACAATTGTATATTTTATGTGTGGTTTTTTTGGCTTAGTTGTAGGCATGGAATTAGGGGCAATTCATCAAGATAAGTTTCAAATTATGTTGGTTAAGGAATTTCCGATACCATGGGTTTAATTGGGTTTTATCTGATTGATGGGAGTTGCAATTCGTGGTCAGTCTGGAATTTCATTCTTTATTTTCCAATTTGACTGCTTTTATGTCATCCGTCTCCTCATTTGGTGTAACTTACCAGATTTATTGTCCTTATTTATCTTTTATCAGGGTCTGGTATCTGGGGTCTGCAAACTTAATTGATTTTGAAGGCTCACATGTTCATGGGAGTTTATTCAAGACTTCCAGGTCGTTGTTTTTGATGCATTCTTCTTGATGTGATCTTTGAGATATGGTTTTGCAGAAGAGATTAGACTATGGATTCAGTGGCTATCAGGTGCCTGCTACTCCGCGAGCGACCAGATCAGCCAGGGTACGTTTTTAATGTGTTTACCTTCAACTTCCATTTCTGAAACAATTGCCTTGTTTGAATGATTGTTATTTCCTCCTTTTATTTTTTATTTTTCCAGAAAAGGGGTTCATTTAAGAAGAGAGTGGAAGCCAATCAAATATGTGCATTTGACTTACTAGCAACCGTAGCTGGTAAGTTATTGTGCGGGAAAGAAAGTAGGCCCAGTTCAAGTAATATGTCAAGTGAGGAAAATAAGCCTGCAGTTGCAAAAAGTACTGTAAAAGAGGAAAGGCAGGAAGAAGATCAAGAATTGAAGGTAGAAACGTGTGATCAAGGAAGCTGTGACAAGAAATTCCTTGTTTCTGAGCTTGCCTCACAAGCTTATGATCAAGACTATAGTTTTAGGATATTGCCAGGTCATCAAGATGACTATCATTCTGGATTTGCTTCCATAATAACAAGTTCTGACAGCTCAGAAAGAGTTGGTTCTCAGAAGTTGGTGAAAGGCAAAATTGAGAATGAAATGGACAGTTTACCATGCAAAGTAGAGAGTGGCCCTGCTGCAAACGGGGGATCTGTTGATTGTAATATTTCAAATGATGAAGATAAAAGATTTGTTAATTGTGAGCTGGAAAAGACTGGGAAGGTTTCAACTGAAGAAGGGACTGGTGTGTCCCATGTAGAGGATCCAGTGGTCTGGAATGAGAAACCTCCTGTCTTAGTTAGTTCAGATAGTAGCACCAAGGTGCCTTTGTGTGGGGACCAAAATCCCCACAGTTCTTTTCCCGCAAGTCTGGATAATGTAAATTTAGTTAGTAAAGATGATGACGAAAACTCTTCAGGGTGTACTCACCCCAGCACCATACAAAAATCATTTAGGGCAACTCCACGTATTGGAGCCCGAAGAATAAGGAAAATATTGGCTTCCAAATATTGGAAGGTAGCTCCAAAATTGAAGGATGTTAGACTTTCTAACTTAGGTGAGTGGTTTCTTTATGGTTCAAATCTCATTATTTAGAGTACATAATCCATTGTCATTAAAGAGGTCATTGAGTATATTTTTTTCAATGAAATGGATATTTGTTGCTTTCAGAGGACTTGAGGCCTTCTTACTGCGAAAGGAATAACAGTTACAAACGCCTCAGATCTGAAAGGAATTATCCCTTCAAGAAAAGGAAGTTTTTTCACTATACCTCACTGCCAAATTCTGATGGGGGAATTAGCAGTGATGGCATTGCTCATTCACATCAGAGGAGCATTGATGTAGATGCTATTGATTCATGTCCAAAGATGCATGGAGGTGATTTGCCTGCTTTTCATTTGTAATCCTTGTATTAATTTACTGGATTTAATTCTATCAGCAGTTGCTAAGTGGTTCTAAATCATTGTGCAGCTACTGGGGATTCTTCTTCAGTAGCTGATCAGCCCAGATTGTTCCACCCTAGGGATTCTCACGGTATGAGAACCTTTAACGGAGTGATTTGTATGGAACTTGATTGGTGTCTGACATTCAGAGATGTTCTTACATAAAGTATATTCTCTTTTACTCAGTGAAACTTAGGATCAAGTCTTTCAGGGTGCCAGAGCTGTTCATTGAAATTCCAGAGACTGCAACTGTTGGTTCGTTGAAGGTATAATGATCTTTGATTCTGATCATTTTGGTAAAAGCTTTTGGCTGCTGCTTCAATGTGGTAAAAATGTTGGTAGGTGTGAAGGACAGGAATGCTTAGAGATCCATTCACATTTATTTTTTGCATCCTGGGCAGCACAGCTGTATGTTTTGCACACTGCATTTCCTATACTGTGAGTGTGATGGAATGTGTCTACTGGTGCATGGGTTTTACTCCCTCTGTTCCATTTTAGTTGTCCTACTTTGACTTTATACATACCAAGACAATCTAGGGATTGGTCGAAGTTCCATAATTAGTTGTTCAAATGACACATTTTTCCCTAATAAAAGCTTTATCATCTTAATAAATAGATCGGCTTATGGTGACAAAGTTGGAATAATAGCATTTAATGTCCCATATAAATAGAAAGAGGGACAACACGCAAATTTAGTAAGTGGGACAACTAAATTGGAATGGAGGGAGTGTTTATTTATTTTTTATTATGTTATGCATCTATCAGCACAGTCAGCCACATTGTAGGTAGCATCTCTTCTGAATGGATTGAATCACTGGCTGCTCACTGCTCTGTCATTAGTTTGCACTCTAATCACATGCAATTGTTCTGTAGAGGACTGTTATGGAGGCAGTGACTTCGATACTTGGAGGCGGACTGCGAGTTGGTGTACTCATTCAGGGAAAGAAGGTTAGAGATGACAATAAAACTTTACAGCAGACTGGAATTTGCTGTGACAGTCAGTCAGATGTTTTAGGTTTTAGCCTTGAGCCTAACCCTTCACAAACTCCCTTGTCTTTCTGTCCTGGAGATTCTCCCTTGATGTTTCCACGTGACACTCCTCAACCTCCAACAAGGTAATAAAATTTATTGCTTTTTAGTATTTAGACATTGGCCTAATGTAGTCTTGTCATTGTTTTCCAGCTCATTGGTTTTTTAGACATACATGGTAGTTCAATTAAGCCCATGTTGTCATTTTGTTGTTTCCTTGAGTTTTTATACTATCCTTTTCCATGAACCATCAATTTAAATGGTTGTATGAGAATTGTTATCGGACTATTCTATGATTTTGGATTTCAAGGTATTTTGTGGATATGTTATGATTTTGTGGTTTTTGGTATCAGGTATCCAGCCACTTGCCATGTCTCACCTGAACCTCATGTGCCTAATATAGGCAGCTTTGTTGAAAGTGATCATGATTCTGCACCTTCTCCTACTGAAATGTCAATTGACAAAAGCACAACTGATTCCAAAGCCCTGGTTGCTGTACCAGCTGTGCCTGTGAGTGTGGAAGCTCTAGTTGTTGTGCCAGTTCATAGGAAGTTTAAGCGATCTGAGGTTGTGCAACGTCGAATTCGTCGACCTTTCTCCGTGGCTGAAGTTGAAGTGCTGGTTCAAGCGGTTGAGAAACTTGGAACTGGAAGGTACACTTGAACGTAGTGTTTAGATCTTCCCTAGTGTTTGAAATTTGCTTTATGTGAAACATGAGGAGATTCAGTTTTATTGGTTTGTTACTCTGCAGATGGCGTGATGTCAAGTTACGGGCTTTTGATAATGCAAAACATCGCACATATGTGGATTTGAAGGTAAGTTAAGATTCTGTTACTAAATTACTATTTTATTTGTTTATTTCCTTTTGTTTTCATTTTAATGCTAAGTAAATGCTTAATCATGCTCAACAAGATTCTCAAAAATTCCCTTATGAATTCTTGTAAGAAACATCATTCTAAATCTCATTTTTTTTGGCATACCAACTAAGTATATTAAAAGCAACCAATCACAAACAATCTAAATCTCTTTTGAAAGAATTAGTTTAATATTGTGATTAGTCTTGTTGTTGCTTGCATAACAGGCAGATGATTAGATAGACTCTTTCCTTGCACGGCTTCTCTGTTCTTTATCTTCTCCATGTGACTGACCTGCCCTTTTACCAGAATCGCAAAATACTTTTTCATTAGTTTTTGTAGTAGTATGTAGTTAATTGATTAGTAAAAGGAAAAATCATATGGTTGTGGGTATTTTTGGATTATAATGTGCAGGATAAGTGGAAAACACTAGTGCACACGGCAAGAATATCCCCTCAGCAAAGGAGGGGAGAGCCGGTTCCCCAGGAACTCTTAGACAGGGTCCTAACTGCCCATGCCCACTGGTCCCAGCAGCAAGCCAAGCAGCAATTGAAGCAACAGCCGGAGAGCTGCCTTCTCCTTCAGAACCCAGTCACCTGATGACTGGAGCACATGTAATGCTGAAGAAAGAAACACCGGATTGACGGAAGGATTGCCTTTTTTTTTTTGCCTGGTTAGTTTCTGGTTTTCTGTGTATTTTGTTAATGATCATGTAAAAAGTAATGATGGGAAAGAAATAGGGAAGTAAGAAGTAATACTCTTATTAGGTATCAGTTGTAGCCGTGATTCTTTTCCTGCGTTGGAAAGGCTTGGCTCTTGTAAATGGCTGTTAATTAAATAAGAGCTTGCTAACAGAAATGATTCCATTTTTCTTCTTTTTCCATTGATTTTGAATAATATTCTAAGCTCCATGTTTCTAATTATGGTTTTTTTTTTAAGTGTATTAATTGTATTTTTTTGACAATTAATTTGTATTGAAAAATTAAAAATTAATTTTAATTTTATTTACTATTTAATTAAAAGTATTCATGTAATGTTGGTGATGAAAATAAGATCTACAGCTTTTTTTTTTATTTGTAAATATTAAATATAAAAAAATATAATTAATGTACACTTACTAGCACTAGTTAGGTAAGTCCATTTATTATTATTTGATTAGAAGATTTACGATGTAGTTATAGCTACACAAACATTTATTATGTCCTCACAATTTAATTTTTTTTTATTAATTTATAATTTTTTTGTTAAATAATTAGCTATAATGTTTATAAATTAATATAAATTTATTAAATAATAAATATTAATTATTTTATTAATTATTAAATATTTTTAATAATCAAACTAAAATAAAATTTTAACAAATTGTATGCCCTATCAAATGATGATGTGGGCATAACACTGCCAAGGTTGGCATCACAGAAGTGAGGCATGTGATGT